ATCTGCTAGAATGGTAATATTGAACAAAAAGTTTTACCGATAAGACGAGTGGCAGTGGGCCAAGCGCTTGATGTGTTCGCTGCAGAAAGAGTGTCCTCATGCCTGAAACAAATTTCTCCCTCAAAACCGAGCTTATGAAATGAGGAGAAATTCATAAAGAAAGAAGAAGAAGCAGAACCTTGCGTGCAAATCAGTTTCGTCGCCTTCGGCGCTGCCTTCTGGCGAATTGCTCTCCGGCGAATTATTATAGGAAAGGTAGTGAATTTCACTTCGAAGACGCCGTTTTCTTTCTGAAAAAAAAAAAAAAAATCCCTCTGTTTACTTGCCTGTGATGTTTTTGATAAATTCAAGTTAATCAGCTGGACAAGAGTGAACTGAAAAATCTATTTGTAAACCAATGGGGATATTTGGTTGCGGTGAGCTCAGAACTGAGAACAGCAGAAAAGATGCACAGCGATGAAACAGAAAAGTAACAAAGGGAATTAAAAAAAACAAACTTTCGTAGTCGTAGGAGCCCTGGACACGTTGGCGTCGATTTGCTGCTTGCGCTTTCATGCCTGCTTCGATACTTTTCTGCAGTGCTTCCACGTTGCTCTGCTGGTGGAACATTTCCATTGCTTTCTGCTGCATCTGTTCATAAATCTGTCGATCCGGCCAAATCTTCAATACGAATGCTGACGCTGATGCAGGTGGTAGCAAAAAAGACAAAGTAAGCATTCTGAAAGGAGAGTAAGCGTACCTGAAGAACTTACCTTGTTGATCAAGGCGTCAAAATTGGGATCCGGCCGTAAAGAGCGCTTCGACACCAATTTCTTCCGGCATGTTGGACATTCCTTGTTACCTCGTAATAGCGCTGTGGTGATACATTCGCTGCAAAAACGATGCAGGCATTCCTGAAAAACATCGCACACTCAACGAACTGAGCAGTCCATTAAAACAGAGTGTATGTGCAATAGTAGCCACCTTTGTGGTCATCGTTGTTGTCAATAAATCCAGACATATCGGACAGCAGAGTTCCGAGGAAAGCATTCGAGTACTAATTCGTATTTCCGTTGAATCCGTGACAGCTTTATGTGGCCGTCGATGCTGAAACATGGCAAATTCAGACGAAGGCTTTGGCCCAGAAATAAGTTCAAAATATAATGCATAAATAAAATGACTTAAGAAGGCAAGACCATACACCTTCCACGCGGATAATACACAAAGAAAACATCGGAAAAACAAAACTAGCCAGGCCAACCAATCAAAGCATGCCAATTCTTTCAGAAATTTAAAGAAAAAAAAAAAACTATTTGTAAGTGAGGATCACTGTAGAAGCGCGTATAAGCTGGAGTTACGGGCATATATTAGAACGACGACACCTTCTGACCCCTCCCCCCTCCCTCCTCCATCTGACATTCTGCAGTTGTATTTTAGCAAAGCGTGGTTTGCACTATGCCCCATTTGCGGGGCTTGCAGAAGTGCGTTATTACAACTTCTGAATTGCGAGATCTTTGCTTCCGGTCATTCTTCCAGTAATCAACAAGTCAATTTTGATACACGCAAGCCAAAAACTCTCACAGCAACTCCGTTAGCGCACGACTCCTGACAATCCATAAGTCATCTCGAAAATCACACCCTGCTTCCGACAAACCACCAACTCATCTCAGTGATCATCATATCACGATTCCGGCAACCCATTCCAGCTCATTCCAGTGATCATACACAGCGATTCTGACAATCCATAGAGGCAAATCACTCCGCCGACCTGACAACTCATTGCCCCATTCTAACAATTACACCGCAGTTTCCAAAGCTCACTGAGCTAATCTACACGCAACGTCGAGCTGATCAGACCTATGTGGCACCGGCACTACCACTCCGACAGCAACAAATCGTCACCGAACGAACCACTTAAGATCCTTACCGCGATATCAAGAATCCGTTGCTCATCCACTTAATACGCCCCAAAAGAACAGAGCCGACAAAGCTTCCTTAATCTGGCCAAATTATTGAAAATGCTGAACAAGAGGGAAAAAATAAGTGAGCTCACTCGGTCATAACTGGTAAGTTCGAGTGTTTTGCCACCAGTGATTGTGTCCGGAGCACTGCCGTTATTCATTATCGTTTTAAAGGATTTTTGCTGCAAGAAGACCAACACGCCAAATTAGTCCAGAGCAGGAACATGTGCTAAAAAATATTTTATTATAAGCATGAAAAACTGCACGATGCACAGCGCGTCCGGAATGCAAATGTCCCGGAGCCATGCGTCGATGTTTATCTCCAAAAAAACAATCAATGAATCGTTTTTACTGGCTATTTTTGGAGGCCTCCTAAATCCGGAAAGCATAACGTCGAGGGCAGAAGATTGGCAGTCCAAAAATTCTTCAAAATTTGACAAAAATCTGTGTGTACTAAACAACAATCAGGACATTCCTAGACATGGCCATCGTTTTGTGACAACGGAGAAAAAGTACTAGCGGGGAAGCCACCGGATGGATGCTGGGGCTAACAGCGGGATGGAACAGAATAATGGCACTGCTCCTTCAAAATTCTGCGCCAGGCATCTCACGGAGAACGGCTGGAAGTCCCAAGCACTTTGTCCGACGCAACCAATCAACGATACTGTCATCCCGATCAGTACAGCACGCGATATAAGGCATAAAATGAGAAAAATGTAAAAACACACACACAACCTCTTGACAATATTCGTTTTTGCATTTGCACAATATGCAAAAATGCGTAAAAATTAGTCCCACCCAATACTAAGCGAGCGCATTCATCCAGATCGACCTACGAAGGCAGATGGGGAACCTAATGGTGACGAAGCGCTAGAATCCGAGACGACCGAAGCTGTTCCACAGGTCGATAACCACAGTTCACCGTTGAGAGATGAATAATCCCCCTCTGCGGACTCATAGACGTCTTGGGCGTGTGTGAAACATGAAGATAGGCTGAACACACTGAAACCTGGAACAGTGGAAAACGAGTCCGTTCGAGGACAGAAGAATGCTGGCGAAACTGGTCTTGCCGTCAGGGGGAAAAGACTTTCTCAAACCATTTCTTGCAAGTCCCACTTATCGGCGTATTCAGGCCACAGGCGGGCCCAGGACGATCTGCCGGGGGAAGGGGGAAGGCGATTTTCCACATCCCCTTCTCCCTTCGTTACTACAT